AGCCATGGCTGCTACATCAATAAAATCATATTAATTTTTCTTAATTATTTTAGTTTCGCCAAAAGAACAAAATCATAAATATTGACAAACACCCCTTTAATGAGCTGATCTCATCATATCAACACACTCACGTTGGACGGTTCAAATGGTTCGACTACCTAGGTCAGTGGTTTACTGACCAAATTAACGATTTTTGGCAAAATAACGGTTCTGGGGTAAAATGGAACAGGTCACTTGACTGCTCCAACCATTCGGTCCGGTCCGATTTTGAAAACCATGGGTAATACCCCTATCCGATGCCATGTGTTAGGATCTGGTGAGCCGAACAAATATACCCATATCACTTACGGGATTTGGCACCATCTATGGGAACGACTCCTACATGATCGTGACATTCAAGATGGTTACATGTCATGCATTACTCCCCCTCTAGGCAATTCCTACTATAAAAGGGACACTGCAACTATAGGTAGGCACACATACTTGAGCTATCACTTAGACTCTAGTGGTGCTCTCTACTCTCTTTGAGCCCTGGACTAACATGAAATGACCGTCTAAGCTCAAGAGGAACCCAAAAAAGTATTGCAAGTTTCACCACTGTACAGGCCATGATACGGAAGACTTTTACGATCTGAAAGATGAGATTGAGTCCCTCATTAGGGAGGCACATTTAAAAGATTATGTTAGTAGTGAAAATCCAACGTCGTCATGTTGACCCCTGACCCAACCGTCCTCTTATTGGAGTCATTGAGGTTATTGCAGGAGGCTCGACCTCTGAAGGAGAGACTACCTCGAACCGAAAAGCATATGCCCGACAAATGAACGTTGAGCATGGGGTAGAGAAAAAAGCAAAAGCTAGAGGAATTCAACTCGTTCTCAAATGATGACTGATGATGCGCAATCCGACCACTCCTAGCTGGAAGTGACGAGGCTTCTAGCTGGTGGCGTGCCGAGGTGGTTCTGCCTGAGGTGAGTTGTCTTTGAGGTGGCCCACTTGCTTGGGCCTAGAGCGAGCTCGTTGTTCCAGTTTGTGAACTGGGACAAACATAACTCGAAGTGCAGCTCGGGACATCGGTGTGCTTGAGCTCGCCCCGTTGCGAGCTGACACTTGCTGAGCTGTCACCTGCGTCGAGTCATGTCCACGTACCGGTCTGCCTATGCCGAGCTGTCATATATGCTGAGTCATGTACACGTGTCACCTAGTCAGGAGGTCGGGCCAAATCACCCTTCATCAATTGCCCCCCACTCCTCGAGCTAGGAGTCTTGCCCTAGTGCGGGGAGTTCATGATGTGATGGGTGGATTTGACCCGTAATTCAAACTACCATGTCAGACCGCGTGAGGTGTACGTGACGTTACGTGATTTATAGATCCCGCGGGTGCCAAAAAACGCACTAAACTGCTTTCGGTCTCGGAGGACGTGCAGCCGTTTTTACTGTGAGCCGTTGGATTGCTTTAATCGGGGCCATTGTTTTTCGGGCAAAGTGGCTATAAATAGGAGGGCCCCAGGCCTCATTTTTTATACCAACCATCCTTGCTTTCGGCTCTAAGATCGTGCCTTCGCCTCGCTTGCTCAAGTTCTCCCCATTCGCGTCGCTCTTTTCAGCCCGTCTTCTTCGGTGAGTCTTTTCTGCCTAATCTAATTATGTTCGGGTATCCGTACGGTGGTGTTCGTTCCCGGGCTGGTAATCAGGGCGAAGCCCCCTCGAGCTCGGGGACCTTTCGAGGGGCAGTCTCTGGAGGCTTGGGAAGCCTCTGGTAACCTGGCTTCCACCTCTCGAAGTCGGGAGCCGGACAGTTTTTGCCCTTCTTCTATGTCGACGGAGAGACTCCGGGCCCTAGTCTTCCAATACAACCTCCCAAGGGAGCTTACTTACAGCCTTCCGTGGCAGGTCTTTGCCTTCCCTTGCACCCTTTGATAGTAGAGGTCCTCACTCACTTTAATGTCACCATAGACCAGTTGCACCCGAATTCTATTCGGAACTTGGTGGGGACCATTTCTTTGTTTTACGAGTACTGTCTTCCCCTTTCTCTCGATACCTTTGCCTCCATCCTGTCAATCAAGAACGCTTCCCCTGGAGCTCCTATAGATAGGCGCTCTTACTATTTTTCCCCCCGTCCCGGCTTCAAGCTTCTCCATGAGTTGCCCAACAGGATCCCCGCCTGGAAGCGAGGCTATTTTGTTGTTCACAATCCCGAGGGGTGGCCCTTTTTGACACACTAGAGGGCCACCATTCAGAATTCGGGCGTTAGCTTGGATCTGAGGATGCGGGAAACGCTACAGTCCTGGGCAGAGATTGGCTTCATCTGCGTGGACTATTTGGCCGAGGACAAGCTCATGCAGAATGACCTGAGCCCCTGTAGGTTACCTTTAGGTTTTTCCTTCCTTTCTTGGTTTTTGGAAGCTGGGCTAACGCCTCTTTGCCTTTTGCATCTGTAATGTCGGACGTGGATGCGCGTCACCTCTTGTCGAACTCCCAGAGTCCACTTCCACCACTAGGAATTTTCTCTGTCCTGTCGCTGGCGGGAATGGTCCAAGAATGTCGATTCCCCACTGTGCGAAGGGCCATGGGCTAGTGAGGTACTTTAGGTCGGCAGCGGGTTGGTGATGGATATTGGCGTGCCTCTGGAATTTATCACATTTCTTGACGAGCTCGAGTGCATCTGCTTTCATCGTTGGCCAGTAGTATCCTTGCCGCAGTGCTTTCTGGGCGAGGGCCCTGCCCCCCAAGTGTCCACCACACAACCCTTCATGTGTGTCGCGGAGAACGAGGTCAACTTCTAAGGGTAATAAACAATGCAAGTAGGGGAGCGTATAGAATCTTCTATATAGCCATCCGTCTATAATGACGTACTTGGCTGCCTGTCACTCTACCCTTCTGGCTGCATTGCGATCT